GGAACAACAGTGCTCCTCTTCAAAAAGAGGCATAATAAAAATAGGACTGTAATGAAGGAAGTTTGGGGGAAAGATACTCCTTTGGCTCTTCAAAAGTCTTCTCATGCAATATATGTTTGAGATAAATGTCTTTCCAGTGTATTAAGTTCTCGCACAGGTATTTTCTTGCTTCTTGTTTCTATTCATTCCACTTTCAAAAGCCTGTCCTACTAGCAGCCCCCTGGCAATAATCACTGTGACTATATAGCAAACAGTTAAGTCAGATAAACACTGGTATACATCGTTTATACAGCTCCAGCTGGAACACGGCAAATTTCTCCTACTGTGCAGCTAATACCCAGAATATGTACAGTCCTTCCTCCCATTTGTCTAGAAATGAGAGACATCCCACAGCACATTTTCCAGCATTATAGCCGTGCCACTCCATTTGTCTAATTTCCATGCCCTCAAAGATAGCTGTCCCAGATGACAGATTACTTCAAAATAGTTCCTTCCGATTTCAGTAGTACTGGGTACAGTGAAAATACAGAAATGAGCTTCTATTATCATTGAATCTATTGCTAGCAGCAGAAACCAAAAATGTAGCACCTTGGATTCATCATGTTTTTTTGGGTTTTTTTTGTTCTTGTTTTTTTTACACAGTGTGGAAATGTTCTGCACTTCTGAGTCTAATAAAAGTAATCTCTATCAATTATCTCAATCTCAATCTCTGTGTATCAATGGACAGGGAAACACTCTTCAGTAAATATTTCATTTTTTATTTTATGCAGCAATAACTGTTTGACATTAAATCATTCAGTTTCTAAAAAGCATAAAAAGGAATAACTGCCCTAGGCACTTCCCATAGAAATTTTACTTTAATTCTTCCATCCCTATACAGTGCCCATGCTACAAAGATGCTATATGTCAATATTTTTAGAATGCACAGTACGATCAACAATAATAGAGAAAACTGTGGGCTGAGAAAACAAACTGCCTTCTGCTTAAGTGACCTGTGTAGTCTCTCTACTTCCCGGACAGCAAAGAAAACAAAGTAAACAGCAGTGACAGTAGAATGTACTTAGGTATTCTGCTCTACTGGACCTTCTCCATCCTTGCTTAAAACCTGCACTGTTCTGTGCTGCAATCGTATACCTTCTCAGGAGGTAGTTGAAGCTAAGTTTCTTGAGGTCCTTATAGTCTTGGCAGAACTTTATCAAGGAATAATAATCAAAAAATCGTTTAAAAAATGAAAAGTAGGATTCCTTAACATTAACAGCATGGAATTGTTGTTGTTCTCTCTACTAGAAAGAGGCATCTCATCTCCTCCTGAGCAATTTATATACTTGCATATGACACCAGAATCCTTTTTCTATAGTCTATGAAAAATGTCTGTTATCCACCATTTGCAAGACCAAAAAACAGAGTTAGGTGGCTTTAACAAGAAATGAATGGACAATAAAAGGAAAGCTATTCCATCTCTGATATCTGCGGAGTATGGGAAGATCCTACACTTTACTGTCTTTCATTGCCTATGGAACACTGATAATTTTGAATTAAAGAATCAAAGCACTGTTCCACTCATTTGGTTCTCAGCACAAATTTTCAAACAAAGAGCTCCAAAATAAATAGCATCGACTCCTCTTGCCTGGAAGGAGACTTCCAGACTTCACCTTACAAGCTTGGTTTCCCTTCAAATTCAGCATTTTCATGTGGGTGAATCTGTCCTGGAAAGCAGCCGCCTTCTTTATACACAGAAAATCAAAAGCAGTCTCCATTTATCTCAGACATTCACTCTTGGTCCAGACTGTCACAATATTCAGCCTAGCAAGTAAAAGTTTAGCCTGGAACATTTCCTGATTTATTCTGGTAACAGAAAAAAGGCCCAAAACTTTGGCTCTGTTAAGGCCTTGAAATGTTATCATCTGTGGCTACCTTTTCTGCCTTTTCTCCTTCTCACATTGTGAAGTTTCAACACCCAGAAGCTAAAGACTTCATTTATATTCACAGATCTTAGAGACCCAAGCACTACAGATTGGTCATAGTGTAAGAACCTAATGAAACAGCATAAAACTTGTAGTGCATAGAACTACTGTTACTACTGTCAGAAAAACTGACAAGTTTGGCTCTAAAAATATGGATATATTGGTAAAAATGTTGCTGTTCTGTGCTGCACAAATGATCTGTAGCAGTTAAACTGGATTTAGTGAAACAAAAAAACAAACAAACAAACAAAAATGAATATAGGTAGATACTTCAACTCCTGGGACCATCCTGATTTCACCAACGTCCCATATTAGGGTTGCAATACTTGTGGGTTGGATTGTGGGTAACCTCTGACTTCCTCCCCAGGGTGCCCTCTTGCAAGAGGCACAAATGCCAAGTTGGGCCTGTGATATCACCATTATGGAAAGATTTGAAGAACATATGAAAGTTATGTGTGTATCTTCTGCAATCCAGAGTCACACACATGCCCCACGGATGAGTAAAGCCTAAGTGGGCCACAGCTCCAATTCACTCCACTCTGTTTTGCATTTGATTATGTCTGTTAATTCCTGTTCACATCTATGATATATATTTATTCCTACAGCAGCTATGTGAGGCGCAGAGGCACTCTTTCCCACAAAGGCATAATCAGATGGAGTGTTTTCCACAAGGCTACTATTGCAGACTGTACAAGATGAAGATTTGTGTAAGTTTGCAAAGTAGAAGCCTATAATAGAACTACTTCTCTTCCAGGCTAATGCCCTTAGCAGTGAGTTATCCTTTGTCTTGGAAAGTAGTGTAGCAAGTCATTATAGCACTTCAAAATTTTAACCCTGCCAAAATTTCCTTACAATACCCTGTTACTCTGCATGGTCCTTGCTTTCTCTGATGTTACCCCTTTACCTAAATCTACAGTCCCAGTATGTTCATGAGTTCTCCTATGTGCCCAGTTTCAGATTAAATCCATAAATCTATTCCTGGGGCCAAAGTATATTCCAGCAGTTGCAAAAGCCATATGTACTGTGGCTGGAAACAACACATAATCCTTCATATTTCATATTTTTAATTAGACAATTAATTTTTAATTAAAATTTAAATTGATTTAAATTTTAATCTCATAACTAGTAACGTACATGTTTTGTTCATCAGGCACTTGCATATGCATACCATTATGCATGGTTTTTAAAACAGGATCTGATGCTAGTGTTGTCTGAAGTAGCACTGAGCTATTTGAGTAAGAAATAGGCAGCAGAGCCACATATGCCTTACAAGAAATTGATTAAATAATCAAGAGGACAAGCAAAGAAACAGATCACATTTTACAGTCAGTCAGTTTTGACACTCAGACAACTCTTCTGCTTTTTTCAGCTGCTATGGCCCTCAGTAGAGAGATGAGGGCTCTTGCTTCTTCTCTACAAACCCCAAAATGAGAACTTTGGTTGGTTTAGAACACTATCTTTCAAAACACATGCATGCACATTTCAAGACCAGAGAGTCTTGTAAATACATTTCAAGAAACTCTGAAGACAAAGAATACCTCTTCCATCTGAGTTTTCACATTATTTTTGTTTTTTTTCCCACCCTCCTCCCTTTTCCCATCTCCCTTTAATTTACAAAATTTTTAATGCAGTATGAAAATGTCACTTTATGTTCATTTTCAACAATGTGGAAGCTGTGCATAAAAAGTGCTTCTATCAGTTAATAAAGGGAAAACCTTATCTTAGGGAGTTAAGAACAGGTCCATGGAGCTGTTAAAACACGAACCTAACTATCAGTCTTCCCATTTTCATTGACTAGACTGGGAAGAATTTTTAAAAGATAACAGAAGGAACAATCATGCCATTAGAGATAAGAACTTTAAATACTAAAAAGGTTTGCTTACACCAGGCTACCTCTAAGAAAAAAATATGTATGTACTTAGTGTTATTATTTGTTATATATGTACACAGTGTTGTTAGTTGACTTCAACAGTAATGCCAGGACTGTCCGTACTGATTAAAATAGATAATAAAAGTATAGAAATAAATATTTTTCTTTTTTCTTCAGAGAAAACCAAGAGAAAAGAAACCTCCTTGTCACCCTACATTTGTTGGGATAGAAGGATAAAAAAAAAAAAAATTATCTAACTCATGCATTTTACAAATTTTCTTCTAAATTCTGTAAAGCTGATTAATCATCTTCAATTCCTATAAACAGGTCCCTAGCAGTTAATTCTGCAAATCAAGTAACGCCATGTAATATCACAATACAAGACAGTAATCTTCAGTCATAAAAGTAATCCTGCAAACTGAAGAGTGTGATATTTCATTAAGTGTCTCCAAATCCAGTTTCCATTCATCTCCAGGTGACAGAATGAAACATTCAGGTCATTTTACTACTAGTATTTACTCCTCTGAGTATTATCTAGACAGTAGACTTAGGCAGTACATTCATATCCTCACCCCTGAAGGATAGTTGAAAAAAATTTTTTTTTGTTTAGTGTCTTCAAACACTTCTTGCTGAAGTAAGAATACAATTCAGGTGACGTATATTTGAAATGGAAGAAGCCCTCCCCTTTTTTATGTGTTATATGTTGGGGGGAAAATCTTGTAGCAGCTTAACCGCATCTAAAGACCCCTTATGCAACTTTTCAAGGTCACTGTTAATTGGGCAAATTTCTGTGTAAATGCTGATCACACAAAGCTAAGCTACCCAGGGCAGCACTAAAATGTAAATCAAATGCATTCATAAAGCATTGGGTTTTGATCAATAATTGATATAATAATCTGTTGTGCATGGCACTCCTGTTTCACTCATTTCTTCTTTTCTTCACTCTAATCTGTCATACCTCACATAGATTACCATTTTATGGTCAAAAATCAGAAACACAATATTCAAGTATTATGTGAAAAAGTTTGTATTTAACAGCATCACGACTATAATAACGCGCATTTGAAAAGAACTTTTCTTAACCTTCCTGGGAGAAACCTCTCTTTTACAATAACATAGCACTTTCATCTCTATGAAGCAAATAGTTATGTTTAGAAAGAACCTACCACGTAAAACAGTGAGTCTCGTGGACACACTTATTTCGCCAACACTGTTGGAAGCCACACATTCATAAATAGCTTCATCTCGTGGCGTGCGCAGTGGTTGTATTCTGAGAACTGATCCAGATCCATCATCAAACTCTATTACCTATAGAAGGAAACAAAAGCTGTCACAGATGTTGTTACAAATGCCTATCCCTCAGTTAATCTGTTCATGAACAGTGACCTGCTGGTATTCATGTCGTCAAAGCCAGGTTCCTTTTTCAAATACACATACCAGGACAAATTCCACACAAATGCAAAAATGTTTAAGTAGCAATGCTTTGTAACATACATTGCTGTTCAGTGAGTATTCAATGGCTGCTCTAAGATAGTTTCAAGAAAAGACAGGATGAAAAACAAACAACAACCCCCCCCCCACCTAACAAGGGCTGTATGAAAGGATTTTGTAACTTCATGCTCTTTTACCCTGAAGTTCACCACCAATCTCTCTCCATTCTCTTAGTTTAAGTACTCTACTTTCAAATGCCAGTTACATTCGTTTTAATTGCTGCAGGCCATATTCCCACTCTACTCAAAGAGTGCAGTTCACTCATTCATTTAGCTCCATAGTGAAAAAGGGTCAGAAACTTCTGAACAACACAGGACTACTCAGTTTTGCTATGCATTTAACCCACAGAACGTAAGTAAATTTATCCAACAATGTATTAGAAAACATGTGACCAGTTAAGAGACTAAATAATAAGGCTAAACTTTAAGGTTTAGTTTTTAAATTGCAATAGTTACACAAGAAATATTAATTTTCATATGAGAAGGCATTAATTGAATGGCTCTTATTTCCTTCTTGTTCTGCAGTCAGAAACACATCAGATATTGGTGAGTACTGCAGCACTCCAGGCATTGGAAAAGCCTTGCTCATAAATAAGTAATATTATTAATCTACTTAATTGGCTTTTTTAAAAATTTTTTGTCAATAATTTAATGTTATTACTACCATCAGGTAAATGGTACTTACCAAAAAAGAACAGTCACAATTATATATTTTTTTACAAAATAATTAATATTTGGCCATAATCTATATATACATACACAAAACAATTTACATACATGCCTATTTGCACATATGCTTGTGTCTGTATGTCTAACTTACACACAAGTTATCTATTAGAACTCTATACTTGTTGAGAGTAAGAGAGAAATAAAGTACAGGGTTGGGAACTATGGTTATATGCCCATTATCTTCTCATTTTCATTGTAGTAATTGTTCGGTTTCTTCTTAGAAGTGGGAGAGTTCTAAGTGTAAATAAGATAAAAACTTGTTTTCTTCCGAGAAGAAATTGCTTTGGTAGCCTACAGGCTGTATTATTTTTCCTTGTTCTTTAAGTAAAGCCATTGTCCTAAACCTAGAAAACAAAAAATCTCCATCTGATCTTAGCACAAACAAAAGAATAACTAGAATTCTTGATAAATTGACATTTATGAGGGAAAGGAAAATTTCACAATCTTAAAGCAGACAGACGAACGATTTGTAGATAAAAAATGAAAGCATGGGATCCAAATAATCACAATCGTTACACTTAAAAAGAATAATTGTTGCTGTTTAAATTTGAATGCTGAATAATCCTAGCTGGATGGCCAATAAAAACAACTGCAGCAGATTGGGTTGGGCAAATATTGCAGAGATTAAGTTTCAAGTCTGGTGTCTCCAAAATATGTATCATAAAATGGACTTACTTTTCCTGTGATGAGTTCTCCCTTTCCTGCATATCACAGATAGTTAATTCCTCCCACTTCCCCATCTACTGAATGAGATTTTTTTTTAAAAAGCATGGATTTTTGAATAAAACCAGCCTCATGCCACAGGGTAGAATGGTGCAATTTTTTAAACTTGTTTTTTCCCCTTCCCTGTTTCTTTTTAAGTTCCTCTGAGGGGGGCTTCTTAGCAACTTAACGTAGATTTTTCTAATTCATATTATTTGAATTTATTTGAAGCAAGAGGAGAAAAAAGAATCCTCCTGTATCACATTCATTCATAGCATATACTTGCAATATAAATAAAAGATGAAAGATTAATAGCAAAGTCCCACAAGGTCTTATTGTAGCCTTTAATTTGAGAAACAATGTATAGCTCTCACCAGTATTCTCACTCAGTTGTGAGAATTAGCCTATGAGCAAGAACATTCCACATTCAACAATAATAATCTTCAAATATATAAACAGGCCACTGTCAAGAGAGTGGGAATAAACTATCTGTTCCCCCTCTGCTAGATAAGACAATTGCTATGTACATCGAGTTCCAGCAAAAAAGTTTAGGTTCCACATGAGAAAAAAAAATCCTGGCAAGGTTCATGAAACACTGTAGCAGGCTGTCCAAGTTTATTGGAGGGAAAAAAAAACCCCACAAAAGTAACCCCCCGCGTCCCTGGGAAAGCATGTGGATTAGATGGCCCACTGAAGTCCTTTCCAGCTGTATTTACTAGGCTTCTATGAAGACAAGTAGCCATATAAAACATTTTCATGTCTTGTATTACACTAAGTAATCAAACTCAGAGAAATATACAAAATCTTAATGTGAAAGAAGAGGAAAAGAAGCTCAACTAATTATTCTCTTACTGGTGCAGTTGACAATCTCAGATGTTTCTTGCTTCCCAAATGTTCCATGTGTGTTTTCTGAATCTCAATTTCTACTGTTGTTCTGTTCTTATTTAGAGATTCTATGGCATGAAATAATGGCCTTACTTTGGGCAGGAAGGACAGCTGCTTAAAATACTGATGTGCTCTGCACACTTCGTAACTACTCTGTTCAGTGGTTATAATAAAAATTATAAAATACTTGGTAACTGTTTTCTATTCTTTTGAATTACATTCCATCCTACTTGGCTATACAGCTTGTTCAATAGTCCACTAAAGGCTTTTTTTAAACATTTTAAATTAATTTTTTATAATTCCATTCAAATATTTTTTATGGAAATAAAACTGTTCTATTTTTACTTGTTCTCCTAAAAACAGGTACATAGGTACATACAAGACAATATATGAAGCAAATAAACCACAACATATTGCACAATAAAACTGAATCAACACAGTAAATGTACATGCCCAATCTTTCAGTGTTTAGAACTCACCTTGAGTGAAAATTTTGTGACCAGAAGGGGATAAATTGTGTAGAGTTTATGATAAAATTTCTATGTTAATCTCTCTAGCCAATTACAGCTCTGCATATGCTCTGCAAAGTGCAAACAGTTCTTGGCACTAAGAGGTCACATTTAAATTCATGCTTTTATTTCTCACATTGTAGTAAATGTACAAGCAAAGAATGATATTGGTTAATGAACAAATTCCAATGTCTTAAAATATTTTTTGAACAAAAAAGGAATAAAAAAAATTATACAAGAAATGCAATTCTTTTCTGCTGACGTAAATCTAACCTGAAAGCCAGGGCAAGCAATCTTCCCAAATACTACTAAAAATTAACACAGAAGACTTCAATATTCAGTCAACTTTTAACAGGTATATCTTAGATCATTTGCTCATAAAATGCATGTCAAAACTGTTTTATATACAAATTAGTCATCTTCCAAACAGTTGTTTTCTCAATGCAGAAGTCTCTTATTTAACATTGAAAATAGTAAAGAGACACGGTGAAAATTATACACTCTACGTCCCAGTTTTGGTATCCATTCTACAGGCCTTCTCTCATTTTCTGAGTTTTTTCTTCATGTTAAAGGTCAACCCATATTTGATATTAATTGTTCCAGCAACTAAAAGAGGGAATAACATTTGTTGTCTTATTCCCCCCCCAAATAACCAGCACCCTTTGAACAGATTATCTTCACTGTTTCCTTTAATTGAAGGTTGTGGAGAGAGGGGAAACAGCTTTCTCTAAAGCCTTTTCCTAGGTTATTGTTAAGAAAAGAACCAAAGGCAAACAAGTTTTACATTTCCTCTTCAGCAGCAGGAAATACAATGTCCCTTTCATCTCCCTCTGCAACAGTGGCAAGCAATTGTGGCAGCAGAAGCAGTAGCAGCCTAAGTCTGTTCGATGCACACTGTCACAAAAGGAGGTGGCTTGCTCTCTGGAGACAGCAATCACTGCTCGAATAATTTTCCCCCATCTCCTTCACGGAAAAAATAGCAGGCTGAACAGAAGCACGTCAAGGCTCCCCAGTTAGATCATGCTAGTAGCAGTTTTCTCTTTAACAGTGCTATGCGTAACCAGTTTGCAAAATAAAAACTTCATGAGACTGCTCCCACTAAATTATCCCCGATAGTCATAGCTATTCTGCTTAATCACTGATTATAAAGCACGCATATTGGGATTAGAAGCGAGGTTGGAATTAATGTTTTTCAGAGGAACAGAACAATGGACCTAATACCTCAAATCTCTGATTGCTGACTTTCTTTCCCTTTTTGTTCCAGACAATTTTAGGTCTTGGATCTCCTGTGGCTTGACAGATGAATGAGGCAACTCCTCCAGAAACCCCTGTCTGGTCAACGGGAGTTCTTGTAAACTTTGGTGGTGCTGAAACAAACAAAAAAATAACAAAATTAATCTAAGTAGTAAACATAAAAAATAAGGCATGTCAAGATTTCAAAATGAAAGAAGGAAAAGTTTTGTTTCTCCAGTGACAGTATTGACCTGCAAGCGAAAGCATTAAACAATAACTAAAAGGTCAGGAAAGTACTTACAGATTTTACTAGTGAAATTTATATTAAAACAGAAATCTGATAGCATCAGAATAGCAAGATCATACATTATATTTTATCACCATTATAAATAAAAAATCCAATTTGTCTTCTGTTGCAAAATGAGCTCATCAATCAGCTGTAGTAAGATCATGATTCATGACTTGATGTTATGATCACAGGATGTCATGAAAACAGGACTGCCACCTTTGAGCCATTAAAACCAGTGACATTTAGGAGAAAGCATTTATAAGTTTGCAGTGGGGTAGGTAAATGACTATGTATTAAGAGTCCACGCAGAAAGGAGTATAAGAGAATAGAGATTTATGCTTGGGCACAGTTTCACGTATAGCTCCTGTTCACTCCCAAATTATTCTACTCTGTTAGAAAGAAGAAGTGAAAAAAGATACAACTATTGCAACAACAGGAGAGGAAAGACAAATGGAGAAATAATTTCAAAAGTAGGAAAAGGCATTTTAATTAATTATTCTCTTTCCTTCTGTTTCTGTTACAAAATAATTAAAATTAATTTATCAGCCTTGTGGTGAAACAAAACTTTCAAACTTACACCAACACAAGACATGACTTCTAAAGATTTAAATATAAAAAAGATGAGATTATGTCTAACCACAGTACAGAAATGTTAAAGAGTTCCTGTAAATATTTACATCATTCCCTTTCTTAGCTGAGAAATTTTTAGAGATCCAATACACTTTAAGATGCTGTTTTGAATGATATGAAGTGAATACTTAGGGCCAATAAATGATAAAAAATCCATGTCTTTGCTATACAGTCTTTCTCAGTTTTAAGTTGTTATGTGTAGTTGCTCTATAGCAACTGTTGCAATTCATTTTTGCCCTCATCTTCAACTTTCAGCAGTCAGCTCCTTTCTGTTCTCAACCTCTTTGCTCTTCTTCACTTTCTGCTCTTACTTCTGACACTTATGTACCTGTACTGTACTGGTTTTCATTTCTAAGTTGCTGCTCTTCACTTCTGATGTCTAACCCCTTATTCTGCTGAACTGGTCTTTCCACATGCAATACTTCTTGTCAGCATGTTTATTTAAATGTCAGAAACCCAGCAGACTATAAGTATGTATGTATGTAACACTGGAAGAAATCCTGAAATAACTTAAAATGCCAAGAAAACATGATGTGGTCATTATTATAAAACTAACTCAATATGTTGTTATGTTGCTACATTAAATATGAGAGTATGCCGACTGTCCTAAGTTTACGAAATGAAATTAGTCTTTTTTATGCTACCCCTGATGTGTAACATACCAGTAACAAAGATAATTTTCAAAAAATGCAGTATAAATATAATGTTGCTGAAAATCTGCATGCTTATGTAAGGCAAAATTGCTATTGCTCAACTTTTCGGAATGTTCAAGGGCCCTTGAACTATCTGCTGTGCTAATTTTGCCTGGTGAACATGTAGCTGAAACCAAATGCAACAGCGAATCTGAGCACAGCAAAATAGTGTGCCACTGCTGCCATGGGGAACTTACAAAAGAACTTCTCTGATGTCAAAAAATTGCCAAAATCATGGCAAATAAATCATACTTAGAGAAAAAAAAACTAAAAATCCTTTCCCAGTCACAGGCTTTATGTCTGGACCACAGAAAAGACAGAGATGTATTCTGATTAAAAGCATCTGGGTTTCACCAAAACTGCTAGCTTTGAATCCTTTTCTATGCATGTATTAACCCAGCAGTCTGATATGTAAAGAGACATGACTGAATCTGATATGCCGACATTCTGTGGCGCAAGTTGTGATTGTGTGCCATCAAGTGAAAAATGATGTACTGCCATTCTCTTTTTATTCTTTTTGACATTTTGTGAATTCAGTGTTAAACCTCACACCAACGAAAGAAAAACACTGCGTGGGCAAACCATCAGCACAGAGTAATTAGGTATATTAGCTCATAGGCAGCTTTTAAATTCTAAGTTTATGCCTCACTCATACATTCAGTGACTGCCCAACTGATAATTTCAACATCAGTGAAGCAACTTACTTCCTTAGAGACAAGGTCTATTTGGAAAATTTGCCAATTTTGCCATGCATTACCAGGGTCAAGGAGGGAAAGCAACTCAATTTAAGAGCCATGCTGTTGCATTCATTCCTGCAACACTTCACTTATCTTGGGACCAGAAAAACTGCAGATTTTTAAACAACAAACAAAACAAAAGCAATGCAAAATGATAAGCAAAGACCGTGTTGAACTATGTTGTTAGCTCTGCAAAAAAAAACCCACCAACTGACCAACCAACCAAAAAACCCCAACCCTACTATTAGGTTTTATGTCATTGCCAGTCATCATGATCTCTATGGTTGGCATGCTTTTACTAATATGCAATATATTGTATTAATGAAAACAATAATAAAAAAAGATAAATAAAGGGGAATCCCTTCCCTCCTTATCAGACACTCAGAAACAAATTCTCCATTAGTGCTGTTCAGGTAAACCCAAGAGAGCTTGCACTAATTTACACCATATGACAATTTACCTTTCCCATTGCTGCTGAACACAAAAGAAACAGACAAAATCCCCTTCATCTCAACACTCTGCAAACTGCAAAACTGTTTATCAAAGAGTGCGTATAGCAATATATATGAAACTAAAAATTTTCCGCCAAACTTAACTGCTGTTAGAGGTAAAACCAGTTTTCTGACAATTTCTTCATCTAGGACTGGGCCAAACCTGGTAAAGGACTGTAAGTGCTATGACTCCTTATGAAAATTGCTTACTAGCTCCTGCAGAGCTGTATCTGCGTAGGGGAGTTGCAGGAATAGGGCTGAATACCTAACATGGCTTTGGTAGCTACCTGAAGAATAGCAGTATTCTTCCAGTCCTACGTGAATTTTTGCTGGACTGACAAATAGTAAAGCTATTGTTTGTTAACTAACAACACTTGCTATGAAGTATTAGAGGCAGAAGACAAGTGCAGTTGTTACATAATAATGTAATTCCCTATTTGTAGACATTTTTCAAGAAAAACAAGGTTTTAAGGTTGTATGTAAAGACCACATTATTGTATGTAAAGACTGATATTGTCTACATCAATAAAAAAGCTTCACATTCCAGTATAGAAGGGAACCGTGGCGATCTTTGTGTTTCACTTACGACCATAATCTAGCTGAAAAAAATAAGGTATGTGGCTGGTCAAAGTTTCCTTTTGCATAAGTAAGTAATTCCATTGCCACAACTCTTCTCCAGTGCCTAATCTTGAAAGTAAGACAGTTATCTTTGAGGTATCCTTGAGAAGGTAAATTATTATTAGAACATAGATAATTTTATCTGAAACAGGAAACTTATAGTAGTCCTGTACACTTCAGACATTTTAATGCATACAATGGCCGTTTTCAGCAGTTCACAAAGTGAAATTTAATTTGGCAAACCAGTTAAATTCTCCACTTCAGACTCAGCAGCTGCACCAGAAGGATAATAATGTCTGCATGTTTAATAGGTGTTGTGAGGATAAACTCATTTATGGTCAAGAGATGCTCAGACTATGGTGATAGTAGCCAGCCAGCCATGGAGAAAGATAGGTATTATGCAATCCATCTTTTCATTATTCAATCAACATGTTCATCTCGTTACATATAAAGTGAGTGTATACCCCATACATAACCAGTGTAAGGGTATATGGAATCATAACCCAACAGAACCAAAATGAAAAGTAGTATTTGTTGCCTTTATCTTTATAAAGGTTGTTAATTAAGGTTTGACACAAATTATCTCCACAATTAATGTTGTCAGTTTCTTGACATTGATTCTGATCTAAGCTGCTAGGTACTCTGATAGGAAACACAAATACACTTGCACACACAATTGTGCTTATTAACATGAGGGCAATTTTGATTGAGAACTGACAACTATTTTCAATCTCCCTTAACAAGAGCAGTGCAGAGTCCAACAAAAACTCTCTGCAGCACACTTCATTAAGCACAGCAACAATCTGTATGGGAACCTTCCAGTGCAATTAAATGTGCCAAAAAAATCAGATGTAATAGGTTACCAACTATGAGGTCACAGCCTTTCAGCACTTTTGAAACTCTACTTGGTCACGTTTCAATAAAGCTGCAATTAAAATAACAGAAGTGTAATTAAAATAACAAAAGTAAAATTCAGTTAAAATCAGCACCTCATATTTCTGGACTTGAACTCTCTTGTGGGCATCATCAAAATTGAAGCAATATTGGCTATTAAATGCAAACAACACAAGTTTTGTTTGTTTCAGCTTGTTTATCTACCAGTGTCTACTCAGATATTTGTGCTGATACTGAATGTTGATACCTTGTCGAGGAAAAAATTTTACAGCAGAAGATTTCCGTAACTTGGACTTATGGAGAGTACCACAAGCTTTGTCATCCAAGGTCTGAGGGTTCCCACCCTCTACTGCTTGTTATGCACTTCTTGCTGGGACTCCTGAGAAGCTCAGGTGACAACAATTGAACTACTGCAAATTACACTCTAATATATGAAGGAAAATGTCATTTATTGCTAGCTCACCTTAAATATATTGAGCTTTAATTTGTTTGTTTTAAGTAGTTTAAAGCCATAGAAGTTAGGCTGCTGCTTCAACAAGCAGTCAAGCTGTCGCCCCAGGGGGCACAGCTTTCTCTCTCTGAAATAGAGAGAGTTTACCACTAGCCAGAAAGAAGCTGTCCTTTTCTGCATATTGAGGCTCCATAAAATACATTTATAACATGACACTAAAATAACTCACTTGGATTGGAACATTTTCATAGCTTTGCATGAGCGTAAGACATCCCTTTCTTCTCTGTTGCACTTCCACATTGTCTTTTGTAAGTTTAAATACAATTCTGAAG